AAGAGTCAGGAAAATTTTTTCGACATTCCGATACAACCTGTAACAGAAACTGTCGTTGTTCTTCGTTTTTCGTCAAACAGATATTGAAGTCTTTGATTGATTTTATTCCTATTTCAGTTGTGTCATTGACAACCTCGAACCCGTACAGTATTTTTTGCTTTTGAATAATGTGCATTTCACACTTTATATCAGAATCCGTATTTGAAAATTCTGTATCAATTTCAAATATTTTGAAAAAATTACTAATTTGATGAGAAACAAAAACATCAATATATTTATCGAGTAAATTATTCACTTGATGAAGACTGACTTCTTCTCCTATCATCACATGTTTTTCTTCAATTGGAAATAATTGTAGACTTTTTACACGCATGCTTTTTTGACACATTTTTCTAAATTTATTGCTTCAGTTGGTGAGTTTGGAGGCGTTGAACCACGCCTTTATATGAATGTTTATTAAAAATGAAGAAATGTCAGTGATAGCTTTTTTTTTCAATGTGTATGTAAATGGATCTGCGAAAAGATATAATAAATAGCCTTCCTCATCCATGTAGCGTGATGAATGGCACCAGGTTCTTTGAGAAAAGTGTCTTTTGTAGGTCCTGAAACAATGAACGAAAGTTATATAAATTCTTTCTAATCATCCCTCCGTTGTTGTATTTTCAATTGTTCTATAAGAACATATTTAATCTGAATTTCCTATGTCTGATATTTTTACCACTTTCATTTGTAACAATCGTTACAGCGGCTTCGTCCTACATGGATATTTTCAAACTGATACAATAACATACAATATTATTACAAATGGAAGTTGTTGAAAATATAGAAAGTTTCATTCCTCATTTTTCAAGCAGTCATGTATTTTGTCTTGTCTAGCTTCGATCATCCATTTGAGTGGGGGCTAGTAGTTGTGCCCATTTTTTAATCAAAAACTGATTTGATAATGATTTCTGGAATATGGTGGCGACATGCCAAATAAAGAAGATTTTCTTCTAATAATTGCTTCAACAAAACATAGGTTCCGTTGAGGCGACCAGTATTCATCGTGGGATTTCCTCAATTGCCACCCACTGTTCAACTGCTGGAAAAACAGCTTTCACCTGAGCAATTCCTCTTTTCTAACAAATCCAACCTTTTGAGGGATATGACTATTTACCAGATAGGTAACCACTAACTTGCAATCCGTAAAAACATTTATAAAGTTGACAAAAATGTTCATTTTATGTTCATTTATGTTCAAAGGAAACGAAACATTGATCAAAAGTGGTTAAACTAAGTATTTTTCTTGACGTTTTCCACTTATTTTCTAAAAATCATGTCCGGTCTTTAAAATAACAGGCTATCTTCAAATATAAACGTTTTATCAAAAAAGTGGTAGGCGTTAAACTTGAAGATAGCAACATTTCCTATGAAATGAAATAGTAATAAAATTTCCAGGACAGAGTTTTCATTTTATGACGAGGCGATTTTCAGCGAAAAAATCTTTTTTTCAAATTTAATCTCGGCGAGGCACGGATTATCATTATCAAATTGAGCTAAAGCTTTCCTAATCTCATTTTCTGGAAAAATAGCAAATATTAGGTGGGTCCCGCCGGCATTACGACAAAAATATATTTTGACCTTATGCCTTGTGATCACCCTAATCCACAGTTTGTACTATCGATCACAGATTATCGACAGCCTGTACTGTTGACTGTAGATACTCGATAGTTTCAACTGTCACCTGCGGCTAATAGTATTTTCGAATGGTCGATTATCAAAAATACACTCTGTGTGTGAGTTTTTAGCTCCTACGTAAAAAGTGTGCAATTGACACTGTTTCCGATCTTCACTTACCAGTTCAGTTGGTAACTTTTTATACCTAGTTTTCATATCTAATGACGTATACGCATAACGGATTCACTTCACCATTCTTCAATAGTTTGTGGGATTTTTGAACTTGGGTATTTCCAAACGATCCTTCCGATTTCATCTTGACCAAAACTCCATTTATATCTACCTGCATGTGCATTAAAAATATTGGCCACTTACCGATGTTTCAAAATTTTTTTTAAATTTTATTCAATAACCTCAAACAGGTTACGCTTCCACTGACATTATACGTCGAACTGTAGTTGATCTCAACTTCATAAAAAATTTCGGAATCAATAACTGTTTCAGAATTTGTGTATATACTTTCCTGCGTGAATATGAATGCAACATCTTTATAGATTTCAAATCATGGAAATGAAAAGTATGTCATCTGATATGAATACAATTCGTTTTTAATCAGATAACAGTTTTGATATTATTTCACTTCGCTACGAGATTTTAACGTGACAGTTTACAAAACACGACACGTGTTTGACTATATAAAATAGCTTCTTCACGCGTGTTGAGTACTGTCAAGTACTCAACACGTGTGTTGTTATCTAAATATTGAACGAAAGACAGTTTTGTGGAGGAAATCGGTGTTTTTCATCGACTTATTTGAGGTATGACGGATTTTCATCAAGTATCGTCCAGTTCCATCATAGATACCAGTTCAGGTAACAGAAATTAGGAGGGATCAACTATAGCGCGTAAGACGATATAATTTTTTTATATCAATAAAATGTTGGGATTTGAATTTGATTCCCTAGACTTTCTGGTTGAATCTCTAATTACTTCCCCCGTATAACTTTTTATTACAATATATTTTTGACAACATTTTCAGGAGAGAGTAATTTTTGGGAAATGAAGGTTTGGGCTTTCTACTTCTCCTTCTTTGTACAAAAATATTGAAAACTTCTAGAGAAAAGGATAAAGCAATTAATCTTTACGAAAGTGTGTATCATGCAAAGAAGTAACTTTCAGACACAAACTGAAAGAAAAAGCCCTCCCAAAACAACTACTTTCGTGTGAACATAATCGTACGTTATGGAATTGAATCAGATATCATTCACAGGATTGCTACACAATATAGTATAGGATCTCACATTGAACGCTTTCTATCTATATATTTAAATAAAACAAACTGTGTGTGAGATACCATCGACATTTTTTAATTCTTTTAAAAGACCTATTGATGCTAGTATGTGTGGAATATAACATCGTTCAAATGTCCGCCACGGCTTCTCTGGATGGAGCACATCCGAAACGTCCAATTTTCCATGACTCTGGCGCATAAATCAGGCTGAAGATGATTTTTTTGGAGAAAATAGGGGTCCGTTGTCAACTGCTCCAGAACCCATTCAGCCAACAGGCGTCGTTGACTATGGTCGTTTACCTTCAGTTCTTGAGTCAGTTGAACTTTGTACAGGTGCAGCTGTGAACTACGAACTGCCTCATAAAGTATTGTTACCGAGTTGAGAGGGCTGGATCCTTCGGGAAAAGGAAATATTAAGAGCAGATAATTGTTGGTTCAAAGATGGATCAAAAACACCTTCTGGTTCTGGTGCAGGTGCATCTGACCTGAAAGACCACTCACCATACAAACTAATCGGCTTCGTTGAGAAGCTGGGCTTATTTCGTCGAGTGTGAATAGGTATGAGCCACAATGAACCTTGCGGCTTGCGGTGGGGAGTTGAATAAAGCTACTCACTTCAGACATAACCTAACCTAACCTACTTCTTTGCATGATCTTCACATCTATGTATAAAATTGCTACTTTCAAAATTGATTACTCCCTTCTTTCCTTCGGAAGATTCCCACAATTTTATGTATCAAGATGGAGTAGTAGAAAGCCAAAAACTTTCTTTTCCAAAAAAATCAGTTACTCCTTAAAATATAACCCTTCCAAAAAAGAAGATCATATATTAATCTAGAATAATGCTTTTCAATTCAATCCATGTTCCAGATGTATATGAAATAACCGTATCATGAGAAAAAGTGTGAATTTTGTCTTTGGTTTTCACTGAAACAATGTCATTTATGGATAGTGTTGAATAGTAAATGTCCTAAAATGGTACTTTGTGGAACCCCATATTCAAGCAATTCATTCTATCATTCTCAAAAGTAACTCATAGGTGACAGTAACAAATACTTTCGTTAGATCTAGAAATATCCGATCGAAGGAATCTCATTATTCAACGAATCATAAATATTATTTGTCAAATAGACAATGGCATCTTCTTCCGGAATGATTTTCTTGAACCCGAATTGTTTGGTGGATAAAAAAATATTTGATATTCATTTGATAATTATCTATTGTGGATTTTGAAAGTTTCTCAACTATTTTCGCTGACGTTGATATGAGTGGAATTGATCGATAATTGTTTGCATTACTTTTGTACCCCCCTTCAAAAATAGATTTCATTATTCCAACTTTAAAAATTTTTTGAAATATTCCTGTACGTATGATAGAATTTGTTGAATGAGTCATGTAATAAAATTAGCCGATACTTGATAAAAATCGATGACGTATTCAAAACAGTTCATTGTGAGAACATGCCTGATGAAGCTATTGTATCAGTGAAACACGTGTTGCGGTTTTGTAAACTGTTCAGTGAACATCTCACAATGAATTGTTACTTGAATAACTGCGGAATTCAACTTCGCATGAGTGTCATATTCATCTACGTCACGAATCCAATCATTTTATTATATTTCACAGAGAAATGATAGTAAAATTATTTCTTTTTTCTGAAAACAAAAATTACGATAAGGATTTGACAATGGAGGACACGCCTAAAGAAGTTATTGTACAGTTTTACTACAAAAACGTAACACGTGTTGCGTTTTTGTAAAACTGTTTAGTGAAAATATCACAATGAAGTGTTTCTTGAATAGGATCATTTCGGTTAGAAGAATACTGCGAAAAAAATCTTTTGAATGAATTCATTACGGACGTCAAAACCAACGATCACTCGATAATACTGTGTACTGATCAATATCCGAAATTAAAAATGGACATACCCGCTGACCCTTTCCATTGTTTTTTATTCAATTTATGTAAATATCGAATAAACCAGAAAGCCTGCTCCGTTTTAACGTCAAGTTATAGATCGACATATAAAAGGTAGATTGTTTTCAATCAGAGTCGATTCAGCGGACAGTGTTTCAACAATTAGGTACGATCAAGCAAGTGTACTCAATAATATTTTTTTGTGATTTACCCAAGGGAGTGTGGGTGACCTAACTAGAGAAATATCGTGATCGTGAGTGCAATATTTTGTAAAAATATGATTGAGTGATTGTTTTTAGAAAAGTTTTTGTTTTGGTATAAAATTCCATGTTTTTCGTTCAATATACTTTCTAAAGTATCGAAAAGGGATTTTGTGTACAAGAAGTGGTAACATAGTTCATAATTTTCTACAATACATTTTTTGAAAGTCCACAGTTACTTCCTTCATTGTGTTTTGTATGAGTGTGTGGTTCCATAATATTTTTCATAGTTCACTTGAAATCATAACATATTACCAGGGCGGTTCAAATTGATGCAGCTTCACAAAATATACTCATATTCCCAATTTGGCTTCGTAATAATTCAATATTTTCATAAATCTGTTGGAATATAGTGTGGCAGATCATGGTTCAACTGAATTAATTTCAACTTCAAAATAATATTGTTTGCTTTTTACGAAAAGTTACACAAAAATGTAAAACTCACAAGTGAGTATTTACGGAATGGACATTCAAGGTGAAATATTCGTTATTGATTGAGATATTTTTTGTAATCAAAATTAATAATTTAAAGGGGAGTTGAATGTTCAAAAATCGGTTTATATCGTATATTTTCATATTGAGAAGTTGGTTTGTTATTGATACCAACCAGTCGGTAGCCGGTCGATTCGACGTGGTTGCTTTGTTCTCTCATTCAATCGACCGCCGTGTTGGTCGGTGGTTCAAGCCGCAGGCTGAACGATAGATTTTCACGTGGTTTTGTCCAACCCGTGTTTGGACTCACACGTTAAAAAGTAATACCTTGTTAGTCCATAGCTCGCACAAGTTTCGACTTCTGAGAGTTGTCCTTCATAGGGGTGCGACAGCTGGTTAACGGAGAAACATATTTCAAAACTTTTTTTTAATAGAACAATAATTTTGAAAAACTAGATGAATGTTTATGAATTGGTGATTTTTTCTAAAGAATAAAAATTTTTGAAATTGTTCAGTCGATTCGAAATTTCTTATTTTAAATTTTTTAGCAGAAATCAATACATTACGAAAGATTCTTCACAGAAGCGAGTGCATGTTATTTATATATCATATTTCTTCTTGATCTGATGAACTATGTCCTTATAATTCTATGAAATTGAAAGATGAATTGAGAATAGATTCACAAGAATTACAAGTGAAAAGAGTTGAGTGTCTGGATGACTTTCAATTGAAGTTGTATTCGATTATAATTGCTTATATGTTTGGTTGAATTCTAAACGTTTACACTGGTATTTCTTTTCATTTCCAGTCCTCATCATTTTTTGTTTTTAAAAACTGATAATAATCAAAAATGCGATAAATACTGTCAATATATCCATAAATATAGTGATAAATCATAAAAGAGTTAATATAATAGAATTTTTGAATATCAGATTATCATCGTCACTTTGTTTATTCGATTGTTAATAGGTAGTTTATGCAGGAAGTGTAGAATTTTCAAAATATTTTGGAATTTTTTTTCGAAAATTTTATTGAATTCAAAACTCAATTTGAACTTTCATCTGATTCTTGCTGCAGACTTACACGACTAAGTTCGTTATATTTTTAGGTGAATGATTTTTTTTCACTATTACAGCACAGGAAAATTATCTGTATTTTTATGTATTACCAATTGTATCTTATGAGTGTTCATTTTTCTTGTTCACTCCCAAATGTATTTATCGTCCATCGACTTTTTTCGTTACTGTACACCTGATGTTTATATATTTCGCCAAACCAACAACGACATATTTTTTTATTTTTCTAGAAATCAACATGTCCGCGGCTACCGCGAGTGTGGATTTGGAGAATCCAACTACTTTATTAACTCCAAAAAACATATTCTACTTCCTACTTATACCAGCTTTGGTATTATGGTACGCTTACTGGAAAATATCTAGGCGGCATATGGTTGAACTTGCCTCGAAAATTCCAGGCCCAGAAGGACTCCCGCTCCTAGGAAGTGCCCTCGAATTTGTCGGAACCTCAGCAGGTATATGAACTTGATGAAAAACCATGACATATCCAACAAATCAGTCGTGTTCAAACTTTATAGTAAAACGTGTGTTGCAGTTTTCTATACTCTGTATGGCTCACTTCCGGAGAAGACCACAGCTTTTTCAGCGAAACACGTGTTGGGGTTTTGTTAATTAGTCAGAGAAAATCTCACAATGTAGTTCACTTAAATACGTGGTCTCATGTTTTCAATTTTATTCGAAAACAGAAATATTAGGACAATATAGTTGGGTAAAAAAGCTTATAAATTAACATGTGTTTCTTCGATATCTTCGGAGCCTCAGTTATCTCTAACAACTTCATTTAACAATCATCCATAATTATTCTGTAGAGTATTTTGATGTTTTCGTCGGTGCAAGCTCTGAATAATGTTTATCAAGCCAAACCTTGGCTTCAATAGTATTTTTTTGCCAAAAAGCAATGCTCTATGAGCACAAGAAAGTCCTCTTTATCCATTTTCTTTAAACTAACAAAGTTTGCTTTACTCAAAATGTTCTATCCCACAAACTCATAGTCCCACTGCTGTGAAATTTGTATGTGTCTTTTGAAGGTTAGAGTTGATAAAAAAACACAAGGATTTAATTCTGATAGCGCCATCCGTGTGTTGGCCTACGAACATCTTAGACTATATCTTAGACTACGTTTATCTTAGACTTACTCGTATTCACCCTTAGTTTCACACAAAATCCAATAATTGAAAAAATATTTTCATCCAGCCTATATTATTATGCATTTTTGAAGGTGATTAGTGCATTCAAATTCAAATAAGAAATTGCCGACGACTCATGTTTGTATAGCGATCCCTCTTCGATGTACCGAGTTCAAGCTACCATCTAAACAAGAGCTCTCTTTCTCTCATTCAACGTAAACATCAACTGTTCTCTTTTTTTCAAAGAAAAAAGAGTGCTATATAATCATGTGTTTCATCGTATATTTTGGTGATGACGCATGTATATATTTTCGTTGTCCCAACTTTGCATGATATAAATTTGAAAATTGTCTTTGATATCGAAGTTTCGAAGAAAATTTTCAGATTTCGAAATTCAACACCCTACGGGGGGTAAATTCTACCCGCAGAATCTAAAACGGAAAAGAGAAACCAAGTGACAACTTACCTAAAATATATCACAACAAGAAGTAATGAAATGATGAAATTTCGTTAGAAGTTCATTTGTGTTTATCAAATAACAGATTTTCGATTTCCATATTAGAATTTTATCTATTTTGTCTGCAACTTTTCATTCATAAATATCCTTACAGTATAATTTTTTGAAGCAAAAAGTGGACATCAAACTTGGATCAAATTTGAAATTCAAGAAGGGCTTAGTTTTTGAGAGAAACAAGGGAATACTTGCATTTATCTTTGATAAATGGGGTTGAGGTTTTTGTTCGATCTGACACATGGTGTTTCTATTAGGGGAAACGTTATCGTCACTTATCATGAGATTTGAAGATACCAATTAAACATTAATTTGCGATTTTTTTAATCTCGATCTTTCTTTTAATTTTTCCAAATGATATATGAAGTAACAAAAAATTGAAAAAAGTTTTTGCGGAAAACTATAGATCTGTAGATATGATTATTTCATTTGAAACTGGTTCAAGAATGTCGATATTTTCTCTATGCAATATAACTTTTTTCAATCGTTTTCTGCATTATTAGTCAGAATTAGAAAAATTATCATGAACAACACAACTGTTGCAATATAAATTTTTTCAATCGTTTTCTGCATTAATAGTCAGAATTAGAAAAAATATCATGATATTTGAAAAAAAATTAATGCTTCATTTACTTTGTTCATTTCTCATCATTTTTTATCAGTTTTCAAATGATTCAAATTCAAATGTTCACAGCACGAATATTCTAGAGCTTTCAAGAAATAGGTTCAAAAGTTTTGAAAAAATCCGAACTTTCATTAAAAAACTTGCTATTGGAATATCTTTCATTCTATTGTTCAGCGAAAATTAATTTTTTCTTTGTCAATATTCAACTTGAATGGGTTGAAGTAATATTTTAGTTGAAACGCCTGATTTAAATTTTGAATGTCTGCAAAATTTTCTCGCGAAAAACGAAAACCACTCTTTGTTCAACTGAATCGTGTGTAACGTTTTATAATTAATTGTTTGCCCAACTAGGCTATGAGTTATTTTAAAATTTACAAAAAAGTTACTTCATCACAAATGATCAATCACTATTTTTCTAATATAGTCTAAGGTCGACTACTATATAAGAGTATACGCAATAAAATGTAATGTTTATCTCATGTACTGTCATTCTGTATTGCGACAAAGATAAAAAACCTGAAATGGGGTTATGCGGCATCATTCTCCTTTAATGGTAAAAAGGTGTCGCACCATCAACCAAGTTGAAGTTCGCAGTTTATTATAATATATGAAACACAACTATCTTCTTGAATAACAACAAAATAAAGTGACTGATATCTGTCGTGAATTGAATATTGCAATTTTTTTGTGTTTTCACCTTTTATACCTAATCATTTTACAATCGTGTGAAATGAAGGTAAACCAAAAAGTGCACGTAGCATGTTTAGTAATATGAACTATTTATTTTACGAGAAAAAGTTGGATCAATAGAAATAAATTTCAACTGTAAAACAGGATAAAAATGAAAACAAAGTTTGAATTGAATTTTTTTAGGAGACATCGATTTTTGGAAAACGTCTTGGCGTTCTACTTCAATATGAACATTGCATTATACAAAAATCACTTTTTCCTATTCAGTTTGCACTCCAATATTCGTTATGGATTTGAATCAGACATCATATACAGGATTGCTACATAATTTAATATATGACAGAGGTTAAATTTCACTTACATGGAACAGTGTCATCCTCAATGGCGGACGTCCGGAATAAGACAATTGCTTTAATACCTTTTCAGCAGTCATTTCGTGATATGTAGAATTAGGATCTTTGTCTTTTGGCATGCTTTACGCAAATCAAGTTGGCATCATCAGGAAATGACTGAAACATGAATAATCTTCTTCTGATGATGCTATTTGGTTAGCGAAGTGCAGGTGAAGAGGCAATGTTCTAGTGCTGTTGCGTTTTTATTAGATGATTTATTTCACGTCAAATAAACATACGTCCTACTACTATTATATCGTTGAATTCAAGTTTATGAAAGAACTTTCGATAATAAATAAATAAATAAATGAAATAAATAAAATATTTATTAATCCTTTCAACTATTGTTAACAATAGATAGGATAAGTCAAAAACAGTGACATTAAGTTTTAATTGACAAACAGGACGAAACAAGCACAATGATGACTATGTAAAATACACTTCGATATCATCTCAAAATTGAAAAGTATAATTCAAATTCCTCAACAGTATAGAAACATTCTCTGATAAGGAGTTCCCTAAGTCTATACTCAAAAACCGCCAGGGATCCCGCGTATTTTATTTCGTTCGGAAGACAGTTAAAAAAACGGCAGCCTGCATTGATGGGAGATTTTTTGTAATAGGAGTGTTTGGGCTTGTTCAATTTGATATCATTTTTATTTCTGGTATTGTAAGAAGTAAGTTTCTGCTGACGACTTCTGAGGCTTGAAATTTTCTTAAAATTCATTTCTCATCAAGCAGACTTCAATCACGCAATCTCAAAATGAAATTCCAGTTTCTTTCAGCCCATTGCATGTAATTTTCCCTGTATATTTCAAAAAAACTGTCACTGTTCTTACTAAATTTCGTTTCCGGCTTGATTTAAAAAACATTTTTGATTGGTTAATTGAATTTGCAATTATTATTTCATGGTAAAAGCAGAATTCTAGCATTTTTATAGTCGATATCCAATTTAAATCTGATGGTTTTTTTGTTGATTTTTGTACTATATTAGGTCACATTTTTCATATGTATATTTATACGCAATGGCTTTGTCATGAACTATATAATTTTTTGAATGAAATAAAGTTGATTTGAACATTCTTGATGAGTACAATTTTGAAATTAATCTATTGAAAACACTTTTTCCTGTCAGAACAAAAATGTTTCACTAATCAAGTTAACATCATCAGATGATTGAGTGTTTTCAATAGATTGATTCAAATTGAATAAAAAAATAATATTACAAACATAATTTGAATTTTTCAGATATTTTCAAAAGAATGTACGCGAAATCATTCGAATACGGAAACACTGTCAAAGTGTGGATAGGCCCAAAACTTCTCATATTCTTGGTTGATCCAAGAGACGTAGAAATCATCCTGAGCAGTCACGTCCATATCGACAAAGCCTCCGAATACCGATTCTTCCAGCCCTGGCTCGGAGACGGTCTTCTCATCTCCACTGGTCAGAAATGGAGGGCTCACAGAAAACTGATCGCACCCACTTTCCATTTGAACGTCCTCAAATCCTTCATCGACCTGTTCAACGCTAATTCCAGAGAAGTAGTTCAAAAACTGAAGAAAGAAGTTGGCAAAGAGTTTGACTGTCACGATTACATGTCAGAAGCTACTGTGGAAATTCTATTGGAAACTGCAATGGGAGTCAGTAAGAAGACCCAAGATCAGAGTGGGTACGATTACGCCATGGCTGTCATGAAGATGTGCGACATTTTACATCTGCGTCATACCAAGGTCTGGCTGAGACCCGATTTCATCTTCAATTTGACGAACTATGCTAAGAAGCAAGAGGGACTCATAGGCATTATTCACAGTTTGACCAGGAAGGTAATCAAGAGGAAGAGAGCAGATTTCGAGAAAGGTATGCAAAATTCCTGAATCTGATTGACACACCCTCTGTTACTGAGGTTAACTTTAGTAAAAGAAACTATTGCTTGATTTATAGCCAGTCTTCAAGTATGCCCACTGACTATATGTGAGAAGTTTTCTTCTCTTATACGAGAAATTGGGCAAATTTCGGATATGCAGTTGGTTACCTCGTTCACAGGCAGATGGAGCGATGACAAACCTGTTGTTGTTGTCTGCTTCAGCTTAGTTTGAGGAATGATACTCTGAAGGAACTCGATTTTCAATTATCAGAAATCATTGACTTCATGTTGATGATGATTGCACTGACGAGTGGCCAAACAGACCGAAAGCGGTCTGCAAGTGTGTTCCAATAATTGAAAATCTATTGCGGCAGTTGTATCGCCAACAGCATATGCAGGAATAATTTCAGTGAAGAATCCTGCACTGACCCCTTTCGGATATAATCCAACCCCCTTCGTGGTATAAGTTAGTGAAGTAGTTGTTTTCTGATGGGTGTCAGTCCATAAGCCTACAGTGTAGGCAGTTGAGACTGGCCTGGACGAATTGTTTTTTTAGATGATTGGAAACTATTGTATAACAAAGCCAATTTCAATGTATTTTATTCATTCATGTTTCAGCAAGTTAGGTGTGCTTTTCACAAGTCAGAAAAATATTCTAAATCAGTGTAAATACTTCAGAGGAAAAATATGGAAGATCATCAAAATGATACTCAAGAACATAACATAACACAATGATAAATAACGAAAAAGATAATTCGCATATATGATAAATACGAGGGACCTCTTAAAGACCCCTGTGGGATCCACGTCAGATGGAAGAGAAATCTGACTCGACCGGCCTGTTTTCTATTTTTCAAATGAAATTTTATCAGTTCAAGTGGTTAACCTCTCTTGCCATAGTGCAATTTTCCAATTTTCTAACTGAAAGTCTGAGTGAGATACATACGAAGGCTTTCGAAAGGTGGTGAAAGGATGCCTCTCTCGAAGGCTTCAACAATGCCACACACTATCATCATTACAGCTTGGGTATGACTGCATTCAGTTCTAAACTCAAAATATTTGGAACTTCTGGCTTTGAGAATGGATTTGGAGAGTTTAGAATATATTGGAATCGATGAGAGTTCCCAAATAACGATTAATCATTTTGAAAATTGAATTTTGTCTTCTGTTAGTGACTTATTCTCGTTTGTCTTCCTACTAGTATTCGACTTTGTACTTCTTACTATTTGTAAACAATTGAAACGTCATTTATAGTGTGTATTTGAATGATTTAAAAGATGTCTTTCACTGTTGACTCAAAATCAATTCGTTGCTTTGTGCATTGAAAATTCTTCATTTTTATCACAGTACCTACAAATCGATTTTTGCATCAAATGGAGATTCTAAATTATGCTCTTCTAAGTTCTTCATACGATTTCCATGCTGTAGGGAATCTACTTTTCTTCACTTCATTTATTTTTTTATCTGTTATTTTCAAATGCATCAGAATCTCATCTATTAGAATATTATCTGATTATAAGACCGAAAGATTTTTTACAATAATTCCATTAATTTTAATGAACATTGAAACCGATTGTTTATATTCAATATAGAAGAACGATACATGTATTTTAAAAAACAGATTATCCAAGACATTCAAAGTTTTCGAAAAAAATATTTTCATGATATTAAATAAAGCGTTTCGGATCGCACGATAAAATTGTAAGATCTTTCGCCGTGCTCAGAAAGAAACGATAAACAGATAAACAATCAATTGCAAAGTAATAAAAGAAATAAATATTATTTTGAATCGAGTTGGAATTTCCGTATTTTTTCCTTCTATTTAGGAATCAGAGGATCAACAGCCGAAGTACCAGAAGAATTGAAAACCAAGAATTATGACAAAAATGTTTCATCGAAGACTGTAGTCGAAGGTTTATCTTATGGTCAAGCAGCTGGTCTGAAGGATGACTTGGATGTGGACGATGACGTAGGAGAAAAGAAGAGGATGGCTTTCTTGGATTTGATGATCGAAGCTTCGCAAAACGGAGTAGTCATCAATGACGAAGAGATCAAGGAGCAAGTAGATACCATTATGTTTGAAGGACACGATACGACAGCAGCTGGCAGTAGCTTCTTCCTCTCCATGATGGGTGAGTGCATTTTATTATTTCTATACAAGTGACACTTTTGAAGATTCACTATTACTTCCTGAATTATCTTAGGAGAGATTCATTTCTGTCTCATACTAGCTTTCTCTTGTTAGAGACGAATTATTTTATTTAGTCGATCATTTCTGCTAGAAATCAGCAATTTCAACACTACACAACTTAATAGCCACAACATGTGAAGTACCATATTAAATTATTCCCTTTTTTCAGGTGTTCACCAAGATATTCAAGATAAAGTTGTACAGGAGATTGACGAAATCTTTGGTGACTCAGATAGACCTGCTACATTCGCAGATACTTTGGAAATGAAATACTTGGAGAGATGCTTGATGGAAACGCTTCGCATGTATCCACCAGTGCCGATTATTGCTAGGCAGCTTCGGCAAGATGTTAAATTAGGTAAGTTTCGATAATAAGTGGAAATTCCAATAGTATTTGAAACGAAATATATTGTGTTTCAAAGACATTGAGAAATAATATTTTTCCGTTTCAGCGTCCGGAGATTACACTCTTCCAGCTGGAGCAACAATTGTTATTGGTACCTTCAAGATTCACCGCCAAGAGGACGTTTACCCCAATCCTGATAAATTCGATCCCGACAACTTCTTACCGGAACGTAGTGCCAACAGACATTACTATTCCTTCATTCCATTCTCAGCTGGACCAAGAAGTTGTGTGGGTGAGTAGAATGAATTCTTGAGAAGTTTCCTTTCAGAATATAATTTTTTGATGACCCAGAAATATTTGTTGTGAACAATTCAATATATTTGTACAGAAATATATCCATATTGGGTTTGACATTTCCGAAGACAATGTTTTGGAGGTTAGGTGACATAATCTCATTACCAGCAGTTCTGACTAGAACCCTAACGATAATTTCTCAGATGAAGTTTCATTATCAATCCCAGATTGAAACCTTCAAACCCTAGAAACTCTTCATATATATTTGACAAAACATATTCAGTTTTTCCCTTGTCTTAGCATTATTTTCAATGTTCCTATCCAAGGAAAAGCATATTGTCTCTCTTCTTCGGAAGTATAATAGCTAAATCTCAATACTCCGGATTTTTTCTCGATCTGGCAGTCATAGTGAAATTATTTCAAAGAATTTTTGCAAGTAAGAGTCAGTTTGGACCGACCCTTCAGTCTTGTGAGATGATAAGTTATAGATTCTTGCGACGCGAGTACCTCTTTTGATGTATTCCTAAACGTATATACATGTGACATTGATTGAGGCTTGAGATGTGGCTTGGAATGTTTAAGAAAATGTTCTTTGTATTTTTGACATTTCACCGCTCTCTGTGGAACAAAGCAGGTTGAGTCAGTCAAACGCTTCTTGTGGATGTATCCATAGAAGGGTGGCTATTTTTCAAATCTTTTCCGTTATCATCTGAAGGTTATGATATTTCGGTCTTCAATCAAGAGTATTCAACTAACTACTTTCAGGGTTTACTTAGGAGCATAGCTCTATATATGTGAGTAGAGGATATAATTTGAGTTTTATTAAGCATTATAATTTGTCAGTTTGTACACATTTCTGGTTCGGAATAATGTTACAAATTTCTGAAAAGCTGACTCTGGTACCTACACCTGTGACGTGATTGTGCCATGACTAGGTTACCTCTGCTTCAAATTCTATTAGGTTACAGTCACCCCATTTTCTCCATGTTTCCGTACAAATTCAAAATTCTCCTTTATCAGAAGCTGATGCCAGATATCTAGATGCAAAGAGACTGTCATTAGTATCAGTACAAAGGGGCCAGACCTCCTCTTTTCATTGAGCTGTATCTTATGTCAAATCACATCTCCTCCAATTTATTTCATTTTTTCCACTGAATTTTTTTACTATTTGAAATTGAATGAAAGTTCATTGAATAATATACTACTATCTTGACAGATTTCTCGTTGCTGACAATTGAAGAAATCAATTAGTGTATTTATCTTTATCAAGATACTAATGATGATAACCGGAGAAATTAATGAAATTAAAAATCTTGACTGACGATTTTTTACTGAAATTTTTGTTCGTTTTCAGGACGTAAATACGCCATGTTGAAACTCAAAATCCTTCTCTCCACGATTTTGAGAAACTACCGCATTTATTCCACTGTTGAAGAAAAGGACTTCCAACTGCAGGGTGATATCATTTTGAAGAGGGCTGATGGATTCAGAATCAAACTGGAACCAAGGAAGAGGGTGTTGAAAGCATAAGAAGTTTATTGACAACTGGAAAAGTAGAAAGTAGTGTTCGTTTAAAATGTAATAATTTATGATATTTGTTTTTGTTTTTATAATATATCTGTATTTTAACCCATCATAGATTGCAATAATGAATATGATTCATTACTAGATGTTGTTTTATTTATGATTTTCATCGTAAAATAATACTTTCCAATTGGTTTCCCGCAAGCAGTATGTATGTTTGAAAAATAAACAAAATGATGACCTAACAAACAAATTATGTCACTCAAGATACCAGAGGTTGTTTCAGAGGTTTCACTCTAGATACTATGTTGTTCTTGTCATATCTCAATATTGGGTTGATTTCATTATTAAAAGCAAATACTTTTTCTTGATTTCCATACATGTGAAAGAGAATGTCGAATGGAAGTAAAATTTTTGATCACGTTTAAAGATTAAACACAAGCACTACAGGAACATTCTTGAAGCGCTCTCAGAGCGGTGTCTGTGCGGAAGTGGCGATTCATATTGAATTTGAATCGCTGGAGATTGAATTCATTTGGAAAAACGTTCTCAGTATGTTTTTTCCACATGAACGCAGTTCTCTAGACGAAAGAGTTCTTGAACAGTGAAGTTGAACCTCAAAACGATGAGCAGTTACAGTCCGTCGCTGCTGATATGTACCGTTCTTGGTGGTATCAAATGTGCCAAGTCACTTGAACACTTCCCGTGAAAGTATTTATAGAAGAGAGACAAATCTCCAATATTTCTTCGATGTTCCAGACTATCAAGGTTGCAAGTTATGTTTGCGCCTCCAATCAGGCAGATGCCACTTATCTGGATGGAATCCAGCAGCTTCAGGGTATGCTTAGGGGCAGAGCTCCATACATGAGAACAATACTTCAAAGAAGGTTTGATCTGAGCAATATAAAGCATTATAAAGTTGCTGAGATGTGTACAGTTTTGGTTTGGAATAGTGTTCCAAGCTTTTGAGAAGCAGCTTTTGCAATTCTAGCGACATAATTGTGCCAAGACATATTGGTGTCCAATATGTCTTGGCACAATTATAGAAAACGTTCTTCCAGGAAGCTGAAGAGCCATACTCAGAAATGATCCGACAAGTCATAGCATCGAAGTTTGGCCAGCAAACCATCATGCCACAGAGGGTCAAAGGCCTTAGCAACAGATCACCCAAATATGAGTGACATACCATAGAAGGTCGCCTGTTAATATTTGTTTCCGAAATCCATATTGATGATCGCTGAAGATTTTGAAGCCTTCCAAATATTTAGGGATATGGTGGTTATGGCAGACAATGAATAATGATGATTGAAATAAACCGATTGATTGTGTATCGATTCCTGTCAATTTCTTTTCGATTCCGTGATGATTTTATATACTGAGACAGTCATAATTTATATTTGCACATACAATTGAAGAAGTTATACAATTTCATTTAGTTGCTAGTCTATGTTGAGTCAATTTCGTTTCTCCAGTGATATTTTTATTCCATTTCGTGATGTGAGAGTCATTTCAGGTGCTAGTTCCAACTGAAATGTAGGTCCTGGAGGTAAAAGACGGAAATTCCTTATGAGTTTCGAAATCGTACTCTTCATTTCAATCATCGAAAATTTCCTTCCTGGAAAAAAAATACGGGTGAATCAATGAAAATTTTTTTTTAATTGTTGTTTCATAAGTTTTGTCAGTTTTGATGTCGAATTCAAATGGATCCAAAACGCAGCTGAAAGAGCCCGAAAAATTGACCAGGCATTTGGCAATGTTAGTGATAATGAACGCATTATTCGACGTTGGTTTGCGAAATTTCGTTCCAGAGATTTTAGCCTCGAAGATAAGCCCCGAAGTAGTCGACCACAACCAAGATTTGGAAACCGTGGCGGAGACTGATCCATCACAAACGGTGCGTGGAATAGCGGAAGACCTGAGCGTCAGTTTCCATGTGGTTTTGGATGGTGCAAAACGTATTGGAATGGTCAAACAGCTCGAAAAGTAGATGGCCCTCGATTTGAACGATCGACTGAAACTGTCATGTTCGAGGTCTGTTCTATTTTCTTTTCGTGCAACGAAACGATTTTTTTTTTGATAAGATTGTCGAGTGTGATGAGAAGAAAATACTCTAAGACAACAGGTGATGTTCGGGATAGTGGCTGGACGCCAATGAGCCACCAGGGCACTTCTCAAAAGCAAAAACCCACCAAAAATAGACCAGGGTTACTCTATGGTGGTCACCGGCTGTGTGATTCACTATAACTTACTACAACCGGGCCAAACCATTACAACAGATCTTCATTGTGGGGAACTCGACAACGCCCGTCCGCACGTTTCACAAATCACCGTTCTAAAATTAAACGAAGGTTCTGATTGGCTAAGGTTCTACCGTTGAAAAAATGATAGAAGTGCTTGAGAAAATGGTGTTCGATTTGCGAGATGTCTGTGGTAGGTGAGGCACAACTTTGCAGCTTAATTCATTTGATTTTCGAATGGTGATTTGTGGAAAGTGTGGACGGGCGTTGTCGTGAAGCAGCATCGGCCTTTTTGTTGATCAGTTCCGGCTGCTGCTTACGCAATTTTTGGTACATTTTGTCGACATCCTCATAATAGGACTCTGCTGTGATGGTTTGACCCTATTGCGGAAACTTAGAGTGAATCAGACCAATCGCTGACTACCATTAAGTAACCATGGTCTCTTTTTGGTCGGTTTTCTCCTTTAGGGAGTGACTGGGTGGCTCATCGGTTGTAGAGGATCCACGTTTTTGGTTGTGCAAAAGCAATCAGAACAGATTTGGACACGTGAGAAACTCTGTCGAGCTTTATGATCTTTCCAATACGTTTTAAACTATCAAAAATCGCATGGGAGCTAACGACCACTTCTTCCTCCTTCCCACACACTGAGACGGACCCTCAAATACTCTACCAAAGTCCACGAGTACTGTGGGTCGACCACTTTGGGGCTCATTTTTGAAGCTGAAATCTCCGAAACTAAATTCTGTAAACCAACGTTGAACAGTGCGTTCATTGTCAAATGCCTGGTTCCGTTTTGGGCGATGAATGAAACCTTAGCTAAAGAGGATGAACAAATCAGTTTGAGTGAACGGAAACGAGTCTCCTCCTAATATTGCTAGTCGGAAACTTCGTTTAATATTGGTTTGTGCTAGGTTTACTGTATTTTTTTATTTATTCATTTATTGATTGATTTGTTCATTTAATTATTCATTTATTCAAGTATTTATTTATTTATCTATCTATTTATTCATTTATTTAACGGCAAAGCCAATTTACAAAAACATATTCAACAAAGTGTGGGGAACTGCAAAGTATTTTTGAATGCTCAGGTCTGATATCTACATTACAATTTACAATTTTACAAAACATTTTGGGAAGTGTGAAATACAAAACATTAATAAATCCTTATGTCGAGTGACTACATTACAAAAACATGAAACAATTCTGGTACTTACAAGGAAAAAAAATGTAACAATCTGGTACTTACAAAGAAAATGATAAGGTAAAGAAAAACTTGGAAAACGCTATAGTCTGAAGTGATTTTTTATGTCTTTCTTGATAATTTCAATTTTTTTTTCAGAAAATGATGATCTAAGCTCATCTAGATATGTAAAATATACTATACTATTCAAATCAAAAAACTATTTGGATCAGGAAGTTACAAACTCATCATCTACCACTACCACCATAACAAGTTTTTTACGTTTGGTTCATCCGTTTTCAGAACCACCAAATCACATTTCTAGTTACTTTTGGAACATATCTCAAGCAGTAGTATTGAAACCTATTGTCGAGTTCAGCTTGACATACTTTATTGTGATTCACAAACTATATCAGTTAGTTTCAATATAGATATTCATCAAATGTCGACCGGTTCCATTCATATTTCAGGTATCAACCATATCAAACTTTTTCCTTTCAGTATATCACTGCGTACTTTATATTTCAGGTGATAAATGGAGAAAATTCTTACCCAAACAAGTTCTTGGTCCAGCGGCGAACGGTAGGAAAGTAAAAGGAACTATATTGCCCTCAAACCTTCCTGGAATAAATTTTTTCGGTTCTGGAAAGTACTTCGGATTGTGATGTAAGCCGTAAACAAAAATTCCCACACTCAAGTTCTTTGGTAACACGATTCCTCCCTCTGTAATAGAACAAAGTCTTTCATATAGCTGATTTTTTGTTCAGTAAACAGTGAATTTTAGTCTTACAAGAGAAAATTTTAAATTATATTGGATCTACAAGTCTTTTTTTTTTGATGAATGAGAATTAACGTTCATCATCAGAAGAATCATGAAATACAAATCAATTAACAGAGTTTAGCTTATTGAAAAAGAGGAGGAAAAAAACACCTCAAAAGTGCTGCTTTGTTCCCTCCTGTTCATAATAGAAGACATATATCCCCTCACTTACAAGCGATTTTGGTGGGGGGACACGTTGGGGGGACACGTGTGAATTGTTGTATTTATACCACGTGGGTGTATGCAATATGCTGTGTAATTGCCGTTGTAAGTAGTCCCACTGTGATTCGAAAGTGCATATAGACTGTAACGATAAGGAGCCACATTGTCTGCTGCATAATTGCTCATATCTAATCCTTCTAAAGAAGAGAATTCAATGGCAACATTCAATTTTCCTCTGAATCTTTCCGTTGGAGAGAATCTTTTTAATTGAATTACTGAAATACAGGGAAACTTATGGATTGATAGGGACTTTGTGCATATTCTTCTTTCCTTGCACCTCGAACAGATTGGTTTTTCATCTCCATCCAGGGTTTCCTCTCTTGTGAAGAAATCTAAGTATTGTGAAAACTCAATTGGCCACTTCTTTGTGGTATAGGGAGAGACAAATCCCAGAAAGGATCGAAAGTTTTTGATGCGAATCCACAGTGTGTGTACTTCATAGTAGATTTTAATTGACCAACGAAATTGTGTACAATCTTAGAGTTGTTCATGTTCAAGTATCTCAGCCAGGACTCTTGCGCTTTTCCGCTTTCGCTCAATTTTTCGTCAATCTCCGTAAGGATCGGTTTAGGTTTCTCAGTAATTCCATTGAGGTCCTCATGTACACCTTCTAAAAGAAATCTAAGGAATTCCTGGGCTTCTTGATGGGAAGATCCCATGAATCGAGGGGCAAATTTTTGAATCTGTCTTTTCTGAACTTTCTGAACTTTCATTGATTTGTGAATAAATTGTTAGCATTAGTTCAAGAACAATGAACAGTGTTAGGAATCACACGTTGAAAGGTAAAACCTCGTTAATCCTTAGCTCGCACAAGTTTCGACTTCTGAGGGTTGTCGTTCGTAGGGGTGCGACAGCTGGTTAACGGAAAAACAGATTTTGAACAGATTTTTTTTAAACAGTTAATGTACTTGAGAAAACCTTATCAGTTATTATGATGGGGTCGTTCATCAAGCGCTTTCTATTTTGAAATTTGAATAAAACAAAGTGTGTGTGAGATCAAAATTTTGTTAGAATGTCCGCCATGGCTTCTCTGGGTGGAGCGCATCCGAAACGTTCAAGTTTCCATGACTCTGGCGCATAAATCAGGCTAAATTTGACCGATGGCATGGGATTGGTAATGTTGGCTTTGAGGTCCGCTGTGATTTGGTGCTCATTCGTATACATCTGGGGCTTAAAAAACCCCACAAAATAGTCTAACGGAGTTAAATCGCACGATCTTGGTGGCCAGTTCACATCACCTCCAAGTGAGATTACCATGCCCTCAAATCATTCGTGCAGAATATCCAACGTGACATGAGCTGTGTGGCACGTAGCGCTGTCCTGCTGAAACCACATGTCGTTGGTCTCCAGATCATCCTATTCAGCAGGCCAAAAGAAGTTGGTAGTCATCGACCTTTAGTGATTGCCGTTGATAATGATGGCTTGCTCAACGTCGTTCTCAAAGAAATATGGACCAATGTCGCCGCCAGCCCAAAATCCACACCAAACAGTGACTTTAACGGGACGCATTGGACGCTCGAACAGAAAAGCCATTTTGATAAAACAATTTTACTATTTGCACATATTGTTGAATGCTACATCCGTCCATAGTGATTTGACAAAATAAACTGAACTAATTTGATGAAGACCTGTTGGAAGACTCTTTAGTATTCGTCAGCTTTTTGGTACAGAAATTTTCCGATATTTATAGTCACAGTGAAATGTTCAAGAAAATAAAATCTATTTTCTTCATCATTTGAAGAGCAAGAGGGTTAAGAGCAGGAGGGTTCAACTGGAAATTGCCCCTAATATTTTGAAAAAATATATGTCTCAGCCGTCTATGAATCTCATTGAATTTTGTTGACATTTCAAGGGTTGCTTTTTAATTTTTTTAAACGAGTATCAGATGGTGCCACTGAAATGTGGTATAACGATATTCGTAAAATTCGTCTGCCCTCACGTGTTTGCCCGCGTGCGGGCAAACACGTGAGGGCAGACGTCTTCGATGGTTGTGTTAGTTTTGCGATTTTCTTTATAATCCGACTCTTGAAACTATTCATTACTTAGTGGAGTTGGCATATTTTATTAGTTACCGTATTTTTGAAGTAAAAATATAAATTAGTAGCCCGCTCTTATATCAACGTACAGCCGAAGCTACTGAACCTAGAATTTCCAAATATGCAGGTAGGTTCTTTGTATAGTGTAAATAAGCACCAAGAAAGGAAATCAGGGATTTTGACTCTCAAGGGGGGAAAATAGGGTTCGAAAATTGTATTGCATTTCGTCAGTTTTGAAGTTGGAAAGCTGAAGTTTTGAGTTGATAAAAAAATATTGTAACTATCTGTTTGAAATGGTCTGTCACGAAACTTAATGTGGCAAACCAAATTCTACGTGGGCGAAGCCGCAGGCAACAACTAGTATCAGAAATAAAATGCCTCACCTAGTTCAACGTCTTTCACTAATTTCCTGCCTATGAAAGGAAATGGCGGGTACATTCTGAGAGCTTCGTTAATGACCTTTTCTAAATATTTCATTTCTTGAAGATGATCGTAGGTCACTGTCAATTCATTATGGAGGTGACCAAATATTTGTCTTTGCTCTTCAAGAATTTTTTCCTGAAATGAAAATGTTTAAATTCGAATAAGTATAAATGATAAATCTATCCAGAAATACAGTAATTTTTTGGGAATAGTTTTTTTATATGATCATTGTGTGCCACCACGATTTTTTTCGAAAACTTCAGAACCTGAAGCTGTCCATTTTTCTCCTGGACAGAGCTTTGTTGATTAAGTATCTATTTTTTATTTCATCTGTAGAAGTTCATAATTCACATAATGTACTCTATGACAGTCATTTTTCTGTCTCAACTGTGTTTGTTGAGAATTTTCAGAAATTTAAAATATAAATTTGCAATAATTCTTATGAGCATCCTGTTCAAAAAATTGATATTTTGGGCTGATACTTATCCAGCTCATACCTTTCCTGGTGTTACATAAGAAAAACAAAAAAATCACAAATTGGTGGAGAACTACTTCGTGAAAAGTAAGAATGTTCGTCATGTGTTTTTTTTAAACAAATGTCAAACATTTTGAAAAATATGTGAGATATATACTAATAACCAAATGAAATGGATCTAGAATATGATGCAGGATAATAATCTTCAAAAGCAAAAGAACCTTGAACCTGCTTCTGATACCGAAAATGCTCCAAATTTGAAATTATCTCAGATTGAATGCTGCTGGTGTTATTTATTAGGTTCTTTCGAAAGTTTTGTCCGTTTTCATGAGCCAGCAAACCCTTTTACCACACAGGGTCAAAAGCCTTAGAAATATTCAGCGCAACAGATCTTGATTCTCCATACTTCTCGATTGCGTTATTCCAAATATAGGTAACATACGCTAGAAGTTCGTCTGTTGATCTTTGTTTCCGAAAGCCATATTGATGATCGCTCAAAATGTTGAAGGCTCTATGATTTCTCAAAACACTGATAACAGAGCGACTGGTCTATAGTTATTTGGAGGATTTTTCATGCCCTTTTTGGGAATAGGCTGAATGCGAGCAATCTTTCAACAAGAAGGAAAAACCCCTTTCGTAAGACAGGTTGAAAACTCTACAAAATACTGGTATGATTTCATTTGATTTCATTAGGGCCAGAAGCCTTGTTGATATTGAGCTGTTTCACAATTCGTCGAAAAGTAATTTCCGGCATTGTAGATTCAAGCGTGGGAATAGTGGGTGGTGCCGTTCCCAGAAAATCGACTGTGGAGTGGGACGCATCTTGTTCAGCCAGTAGATTTTCTTTTTCTATGGCTGTTGTTGCAATTGAACCATCCGCTTGGGTCAATGGCGGAATTGTGGATTTTGTAAAATTCTGATTAACATTTTCAGCTACCGACCAGAAGGATCTAGACCTGTTGGGATTGGCAAGCAGTTTATCCCTAATTCTCTGATTGTGAAGTTTTTTGCTTTCATTTATCCTAAGTTTGCAGCTTAGGACTATACACATCCGTCTTTCAAGCGGAAGTGTGCAAGGCTTATTAAATTGAGACCTCAAAGAAATGAGCGGATCAATATTTTAACAGACAGCAAGAGCGCACAAGGGGCTCTGACAAACCCGAAGGTGACATCAAAACTGGTCTGGGAATGCCATGAAGAACTGAATGAACTTGCAAACAGAAATAAATTAACTTTGTACTGGGTGCCAGGGCATTCAGGAATCGCAGGTAATGATAAAGCTCATGAATGCCCTAGACACGGATCATCAACTTCATATATAGGATCTGAACCAGCTCTGGGGGTACCAAAATCATTGGTACGAAACCAGAATAGGACATGGACCAATAAGAAGCACACAGAGTACTGGACAAAAGTACCTGGCAACAATCACAATAGAACCTTCATTAGGTAACCGTCCGAGAAAAGAATCGGAGAACTACTTCAATATAGTAGGGATCGGATCAGAATAATTACAGAGTTACTAACCGGTCATTGTTGGCTTAGAGGACACCTAAATAAAATGGGGCTGTACAACGAAGACCTCAGCTGCAGATTATGCAACGAAGGGATAGAAACAGCTCTACACATCTTATGCGAATGTGAGGCACTGAATCACAGGAGGCAGGCAATATATGGACGTACAAAATTACGTCCAGAAGAATATGACGAACATCCAATACAGAACCTGTACAAACTAGTACAGGGAACGAGATTGATGGAATGGGTGTCATGAGAAGATAGGAGAATAAACGCAATAAGCCCAAGAGGCTGCAGTGTTTTCTGGAGACTTGGACTAGATGAAAAGTCAGACAGCTCCCAAGGGACCAAAAAAGTTCGCAGCTGTTGTGAGCATTAACAAACCTAGTTCGGTTTTTGGCACTGGGATTTTTGCGCTACTGCCGGTAGGCAAGATTTTGGAGGCAACAGCTTGCTCGCAATTTTTGTTGAACCAAGGTTAGGTTAGAAGGTCGTTTCATTGAAAAACGAACATACCTACTTCCTTTTAAACTTCTCAAAAATTGTATCTGAAAAATATTCATCTATCTTATTGAACAATGAAAAGCAGAAACTCATTTGGGAAATCTCCTACCTGACACTCTGGATGGTGCGCCAATGCATACAGGGTGAAGGCTAAACCAGTAGCCGTAGAGCCATGTCCCTAAAAAAATTACTATTTCAGTCAGAAACAACATATATTCGTTCATACCCACACCAAATACGAAGGTGTTGACTTCATCCAATACATCTTTCTCCGAGACTTCTCCTTCCGTACCCATTTTATGAATTAAAGTATCTACAAAAGTAGGCAAAGGCTCCTTTTCTGATCCAGAATTATAACTACGAATCTTATTCCTCATAATATTTCTGTTGAAGTTGTTTATGGTATCGACAGCTGCTGTTTGTGTTTGGTACTGTTTAGTGAAACGAAAAGTGAAATCATACTTTTTCAGAAGAGGAGATATTGAACGTTCGAATACGATTTTGCCCATGTTGTCGACACTTTCGAAATAACCATTGTGAGGTTCTTTTTGGCAGTTCAAATCTATCCCTAACGATGTTTCTGAAAGAAACAGGATATCATTAGGTATTTAACTGCAAAAATGTTAAAAATATTATTAGGCTATTGAAATTTCCTTGTGTATACATTTAAATCCGAATGTTGCGGTATACTTTCTTGAAGCAATAATGACCAGTTCCTAACCATATTTCAGATTGCACAAACATTATTTGTATACATTTTCATTGTTGTAAATTCTTCAACAGAACATTTTCACTCATACGAGGTCTCTATGCATGCATACATACACAAACTTGCGGGGTCGTCTCCAGAAGTATCTTCAACTGTATAGAGATCTGTATTTTTTTTTCATAATTGTGGTAGTCAACACAACAACAAAATAATTATCATTTCTTGTTTTAAAAAATACATCTACAAGATTTAGTCGTCAAAAAAATTATTTTCCTAATAATTTTTCAAGAAAGTCTATAAATGATGAGTGCAAGCACTAATCAATTCAATAGACTTAACGAACTGTACAGCAGATGGAGTGCGATTCCAAGAATCGCATTTACAATATAATTGTTATTTTTCAGCTAATCTTTTTATTTTTTTTTAGATTTTTTCAGGGATTTCAAATCAATTCATTCCATATCAGACAATGGAAGTCCGAACTAATCAAATGCGTTTTTGTATGTGAACATTTTTTTCTATATCGAAGTCAATTTACGTACCGATGCCACTGTTGAGGTTGAAAATGATTTTTTAATTGAAAATATTAATTTTGATCAACTATTACTACTTATAAAATTTATTTTTTCATGAAAATTTTCACCCTTGAATATTCGAGTATCATTAAGGAGCATCCTATAGATCTCAGGATCAAGCCGAATGCTATATCAAATTTAACACACAGACCAAGTAAGTGTATTTCACTGTAAGTATATGCGAAAGATTTTTTTACTTCTTTGATATAGTACATGACTTACATGAGTTTTAATTTCAATAGTACAAAGTGTAACTTACTGGAAAGTACATCCATGGAAAAATGCTTCAAGAATGGAAATAGGTCAAAACTTGAGTCGTTCAGTTTTTCAGAGAGTTTTTCTACAAGAATATCTCCTAGTGCTTCGAACTGTACAGTGTAATGTCTGAGGAGAGAGGGACGACCAAAACATGGATTCAGCAATTTTCTACGTGTTCTCCAGGTTTCCCCTTCTGAAATTAAATCAAACATTCATGTTACAGCTATAAGCAGCTTCATCGGACCAGAACTTGTCATTGGTATCGCTTTAGGCTTTCCCAAACAAAGATTGAACAGCTGGATGGCAAGAAAATGTATGGACTTCTAGGATTGGCTCACTCCAAAGCGTTTATTCACCCTTAGAAGCTTGATACCAAACAGTTGTTGGACTACAGTAGGGATGAACTACGATGTCCAACTGGCCTTCTTACAGGTCACTGTCATCTGCTAAAATTCTTGAACATTTTGCTCAGATGGCATTCCGAAATATTGTTTGAATCGACACTGGCGAGGTTGGCAAGTGTATGAAGCCGGAGCGGTAAATCGGAAAAAAGTCGGAAGCATGTATGACAAGGGTGATTACCCACTGGCGATCCTGCACCGATCCGCTTTTGGGACAAAAACAAACCGGAGTCGGATCGAAGAGGTGTATGAAGAAGTGTTCTCGGCCTTTAGGCGGATTATCAACAACACACAAAGTCTCTTAAAATTAGCGAGAAACTTTCTCGCAGAACCTGCAGTTTTCCGCGATACTTCTCGCTCGCATAATTAGTGACAGCAGCACGCCTTGCTACAAAGTGTGAGGGATACGTCATGGTTTAGTGGTATTAGTCACACACACCGAAAGTTAAAGGCCTGTTGGCAGTTCTGTAGATCACACAACGGTTACGAGACGCGTTATTTCTCGCTGACTCAGATTCAATCTCGTGTACCCGCTGTTCAATTTTCCAAACCGCAAGACTAACATTGCTTCCTATCGATTCGCAAAACGACTGAACGAAATTGTACAAGACTGTGTTGTCTTCGCGGATGTCATAATCTTCTGTAAGAATATCGTTGACCACCGCATCTAAATGAAACAGTTGTAGCTTCAAGGATCTGATTTGAGGAAGCGCCCAGCGTGCATCGATTGTCTCCACTGGTGGCATGATTTGAGTCTCCTCACCAGCCACGACAGTAGAGCTGCTACTTCCACCACTTTCTCAGCAGGCTGGAGAGAAGATTTATAATACTGCTGTCGAAGACATGATACATAATCCCTTAGGTATTGGGTGAGAATGTGGCATGCTCCGAATGTGTCGAACATCACAGATCATGAATTATCGGTATGTCCGAGCTAACTACTCCTGTAACGATGCAAGACTATCCCTCAGCTCACGCGTCCACTCAAATCTTCTGCTGGTACTGCGTTATTCGTCTGGAAGCAAATTCACATTATAAACATTACTAATTTGCCTTTCATCCCTAATTCGTGAAGGTCGGCTTCTTCTACGTGAATGGAACTTCCACATCCATCGTATTCGCCAGATATGGCTCCCAGTGACTACTGGCTGTTCGCAGACCTCAAAAAATGATCATCGGTGGAAAATTTCGCTTGAATAAAGAGGTTATTGCTAAAACTGAGGCTTATTTTGAGGCAAAAGATGAATCTTTTTGCAAAAGTGGTATTGAAATGTTAGAGCAGCGCTGTGGCTCAATTTCGTACAAATAAATTTGTTTTTTTTCATAGGTTCAGGACTCTTCAGCCCATGTGTTAATTCTTAATGCGGCTAGCCAAGAAAGAATCTTTCTGCTAGCTATAAAAGTATTTCGCTTTAAAGCTAACAAGTATGTATACAAATCCTTTACTACATACAACTTTCCTACTAATTATCAAAATGCCAGCTTTGCTTTGAGGAAAGTTCTTGAAGTTTTCGAAAAAGCTTTTATGATTAATAGATGCAGATAGTTTGTAAATAAAAATTGTTGAACTGTTTAATGGAAAATCCATGCCTGCCTTGAGCAGAATAGTAAAATAATATTCAATTTCTTACCGTCTCTTGTTACGAGTCCGTCTCCTAACCATACTTTCATATAATCGTAGAATTTGGATTTTTTTGTAGCTGCCCCTGAAGATAAAAGGGTTCGCACGTCTCTGGGGTTTGCAATCAGAATGGCAGGTTTTGTTGGAGGAAAATAAATCCTCATTAGTCCATCACATTCGATGGAATATTTTGTCAATTTTTCTAGAATTTCTGTAATTAGAAATTGGTTACTATGGTGCAGAAGCCAAATTTTTATGGTAGAAAAATAGTTATTTATTAAACAAGGGAAAAAAGTGTTAGTTTTTAGCTCGAGGCTAAAATCTAATATTTTTCCCGTGTATAATACACAATTTTTTTCTGTGACGGGAAAAACGACGATTTAATATTGAAAAAAAACATATTATTACAATATGTTGAAGTCAGAAAATTATCGATGTGAAATTTGAATTTTTAAACAGGTAGACTGTTGTACTAATAGCGTTACTAGGAAACCAATCGATAGAAAATCAAATATCTTGTCAATTTAATTCTGTGATATGATTTAAAAATTGCGAACTTAGTGGTCAGTACTTATTTTGACGAATGTCTACTTCCGAGTTTTCTCGTGACTCCACAAAAGTTAGTGGAAGCAGCGAAAATTTATGAAACCGCGTATTCAAGATTCATGGAAGGGAAGATGAAAAAGACATACAGTTCTTTCTCGGAGACGGTGTTATGGCTTATTTTTCGAAACTGGCACAACAACAGAAGCCATCAACAGTGTGGTCGAATTATTCATTGATTAAAAGTATATTACAATCCAATAATAATGTAGATATTTCAAAATATTTCAAACTAATTACATTTCTGAAAATAAATGGAAAAGGTTACACGCCCAAGAAAGCTGCGATATTTACGAGTACACATATTAGTGACTTTTTGAATAATGCTACCGATGAAGTTTATTTAATGGCCAAGGTTGTTGTTGTATTTGGGACTGCAGGAGCTTGTCGAATTTGTGAAATCAGCCAGGTAGCATTAGATGATATTGAAGATTCGGGAACGGTATTAATTGTGAAAATCAAGCAAACAAAGAATGATGTAAACAGGAGATTTGTAGTTAGTAAAGAATATATTAAATTTTAACGAATGTACATCCCTTCGTCCAGCAGTAGCAAAGGATCGCCGCCTGTTTTATGCATATCGCAATGGAAAATGTATCAATCAGGTTGTAGGTAGCAATCAGTTTCATAAGGTATCTGAAGCAGTGGCTAATTTTTTCCAAGTTGAAAATGCCAATTCATATACAGGTCATTCATTTCGAAGATCGTCTGCTACACTTTTAGTTGAATCTGGGAAAAACTTGATGACACCAAAGAAACATGGCGGTTGGAAGTCATCAACGGTCGCTGAAGGGTATGTTGATGAATCGATAGCACACAGGACAGAAATAGCTAATAAAGCATTTTGGCAGTGCTGAAATAACACACACACACCCTATTTGCACACCCAACGGCAGTTGTGTCCATGGCAGAAAAAAAATATATTAAACTAAAATTAAATTTGTACAAATTTAATTTTAGTTAAATATTGATTTCAATTTAAGAGCCACCGGTATACAATATGGCAATGATCAAAGAGTACTTATCTATTTATTTTATGATTTTCATGGAATCATTTTCCAGCAGCTTAACTGCATTAACCTTTCTAGATTTCGTATCATTTCTAGAAACATGTGGATTCGTTTTCCGATGGCATTTCAGGTTAGTTTCCCAAATTTCTGCTACCACAGTTGTCGGTTGATTGGTCAAACCACCAACACTAACATAAAAACTTGGATGACTTGGGTGTCACACCAATAGGTGGTTCCTCTTATGTTTCGCTTGCGTTTACGCAGCTATTTTCATCAAGTACTTTCTTGGTTTTTCCTCATTTTGTCTTCAATCGAGAACCGCCTGCCCAGTACTGACGATGCCCAATAGGCTGAAACAGCTGTATATATCCGTGAAAAAAGTACTCACAAGTAATTTCATGAAAAGTGACAGTTTGTTTGTTACCTGTCATCAAAGATAAAAGGTCAAACTTTTTTCCCGTCACAGAAAAATAAAATTTTCAACTGGCCAGGATTCGATTTTGGTTATGAATAATAAAAAAAAACATCAAATAAACTCGATGGGAATTGAAAAAATGAAATGGCGTGGTATTTAGTGGTAGAGAATGGATTTTTGCGGATTTAGGCAAAGTTTTGATCTCTTGGGTGAAGAAGCTTTTGAAGAAAAGTTTTAGGTAATATAAAAATGAATAACTTTCATGCAAATTTCAAGAGGAAATCGCAAAAAATCTGTTTTTTGTTCTGTTTTAATATCCTTGGCAATAATAATTTTAATTACATTAAAATTTCTAAAATTGTAAAATTTTATGAATAAAATTTTTGAGAACTGAAAAACAAATTGTTTTTGAATATTAACAATATTACAAAAAAACTTCGTTTCTATAAAAAACTTGTGTAGGTAAATCTACAATGTAGGTAAATTGCCTGACACCAATCAGTAAACAACTACTCCCCTAGCTAACACCACGAAGGGCGTTGTATTATATCCGACAGGTGTCAATGCAGGATTCTTTACTGAAGTTATTCCTGCTGTTTGCGATACAACTGTCGGAATCGATTTTCAATTATTGGGACACACTTGCAGACCGGGCTGTTTGGCCACTCGTCAGTGCGAGGTAGTGTATCTGATCAAAATAAAGTCGATGATTTTCCATAATTAAAAATTGAATTCCTTTAGAGTATCATTCCTTAAACTACGCTGAAGCTAACGACAAACAACATGTTTGTTATCGCCCCATCTGCCTGTGAACGAGGTCCAAATACCACGAAGTGCGTTGTTTTATATCAGACAGGTGTCAGCCAAGATTCATCACTGAAGTTATTCCTGCATATGTATCGTTGGATCACCAACAGCATATGCAGGAATAACTTCCAGTGTAGAATCCTGCAGTGACACCTGCTGGATATAATCCAAGGCCCTTCGTGTTATTAACCAGAGGAGTAGTTGTTTTCTGAGTGGTGTCAGTCCATTAACCTACAATGTAGGGAGTTGAGACCGTCCTGAACGAATTGTTCTTGTAGATGATGCGATGTATAGCCTATCTCATTTTATGTACAGTTCATTTTGATTATGTGTATTTTGAAATGGCATACTAATGTTAGTGGTTTATTTTTCATTAATCTGCCAAAACTGAACTCGCCACCGCGCTGACGAGGCCACAGCCAGAAACACGTGTTCGCGGTTTGCACACTTTTTTGGAAAACATTGGTGTTTCGTATGAAATATTATATAAATTGCATTGAATGTTTCAGTGTACATTGGAAATGTTAAGCAACTTCTGATTAAATCTATGAATTCTCATAATTTCACGGAAATTCAAAATTATATTTTCGATATCTACAAATTATTCATTTCATTCTTGCGAAAAAAATTTCGACTTCCTACTTTTTCATCAATTTATGGAAAGTGGAAAAATTATATATACTATTCATAGAAGATTTCCCAGTTTGTAGCTGACGTAATTTTTGGGGTGCATGAGATACACATGTTTTCATTGATAAATTCAATTTTTTTTCTCCATTTGGAAGTTCACTAATATTTATATTCATATATCAACGGAAAATTCGAAAACCGATACACTTTTTTTCCTTTGGATATTAGTCTACAACTATTTTTATTGAAAAACCATTATCAACAATTCAGTTGAGATATTCAGTCCTAATGAAGAGCAAAACTGAAATCAATAAAATAATTGTCTTCAGTTATATATAAATAGGTTTGTAAAACAAATGGAAAAATTCTGAAATAAACTCACTTGTTCGATCTATGAAGTCCGGTATGTGTCCTAATATGAAATTACATTGTGGTTTGGGAATTTTCCTCAAATAGGTATGTCCACGATATAAAATGAAAATTGAAACCAAACATATACACAGGACAATAAAGAACATGAAAGAAAACATAGCTTCACGCTGTGGAAAGTACGAAATGATTTCTGAAAGCATGAATAATGACTGCAATATTAAAATTTATAATGTAGGTATATCAACAAAGCATATTATCAGTAATCAGAGATTTCAGTGGAACAAATACGACAATTATCAAGAAAGAGCAGTTATGGAAATATAATACTTTTTTGACATTCAGATATTCAGAATATATTATTAGGACAGCGAACAAACTCTCGCCGAATTTTCAGGTATACTACACGGAAAATAACGAATAGTTGCATTGAAAATGTTGATGAAAATAGAGAAAATAAAGATTATCTGTAGTTGAGAGGAGCTCATATCTAAATTTGTTTACTCAATTGAAGCGTTAGCTACAAACTCTTCTAGAAACTGTATCAAAATAACAATACACCTGCGGCTTTAAAAAAACCCACAAAAGTCTAACGGGGTCAAATCGTGCGATCTTGGTGGCCAGTTCACATCACCTCCACGTGAGACGACCATGCCCTCAGATTGCTCGTGCAGAATATCCAATGTGTTATGAGTCGTGTAGCAAGTAGTGCCGTCTTGTTGAAACCACATGTATTTGGTATCCAGATCATACAATTCAGGTCAGAAGAAGTAAGAAATCATCAATCTATAGTGCTCGTAGTGATGGCCTGGTGCTCGTAGTGATGGCCTGGTCAACGTCGTTCTCAAAGAAGTATGGTCCGATGACGCCGCCAGCCCAAAATCCACACCAAAGAGTGACTTGCTTTGCCAACTGCTCCAGAGTCCATTCATCGAACACCCGTCGTTGTCTATGGTCGTTTACCTTCAGTTCCTAGGTCAGTTAAAATTTGGAAGGGTGCAGGTTCAAGTCACGACGCAAATTTTGCCAAGTTGTGAGTTCTTGTGAGCGACGCGAAATCGATTATCTCGGATTCTCCTGCACACTTTCACAGACAGCGTTGATGTTTTCGGCAGATCTTGTGTCAATGAATGTCACACGTACGAGTGTTGGTCGATCGTTTACTGAACCAGTGGACTCAAATTCATCCACCACCTTGAAAATATCCTCTCGGTAGGAGGATTATGGCGATCGTAAAATGGGCAAAGCGCGCGGTACGTTGCCCAAACAGACCACCCATTTTGATAAAACAATTCTATTATTTGCACGCGTTGTTGAACATTATATCTGTTCATGGTGATTTGGCAAAACGGACTGAATAAGTGTCCAGTGTGTAGTTCTGTAGTTCTGAGCCAATCCATGTTTTGTTGAAACAGTTCTTCGGCTCTCTTCTCGGACGGTTCCTTTACGAAGGTTTTCAGTGTGTGTTGACTATGACCTACTGAAATATTTTTCTGCATGATTTCACCTACATAACCCACTCCACAGTCACTCAGATAATCAGCTCTATGCTAGATTCAATTATATATAATATAATAATATTTATTTGCCATTCAATTTGAAATACAAAACAATCTTAGTTAACGACAAATAAATATAGTTCCCACAGAAGGATAAACCTGTGCCTGGGCTAAATCATTTCAATATTGGATAGATTATAAAGAATGAAATATAAAAATAAAGTTTATTTCAGTATGAACAAAAAAGGCACTAGAAAAATTGTATACAGATATTACATTGAAATCATATATAATCATTATAAATAAAAACATTTACCTGAACAGATCAGATATAATCATCAATTCATTACCTACGTCTCAGTAAAAACAGGTGAATAAGTTATTGGTCATTTCATAGCTATTATTCTAAAAACGTACTGAATATGATCAACTGATGAGAATAACGTTATAAGGGGAGAGTTATTTGAATCGATTTTTATCATTCATGAGATATTGGGAGTTTTTGAATTCATTTTTGTTCATACTTTTCAGAAGTTAAATTTGAAAGTTTTCTTCTTAAATTGAAGAGATTTCTGTCTTTCTGTAAAAAAGGTGAATAATATACATAGTTTGTCTTCATTCTACCATTATGAAAACAGTTTTGTGGAATCTTCATGTGTGCTCCATTTGTTGTTTCAGTTTAATCTGTGTGAAAGATCGGACATAATCCACACGACAATTTACAACCTCTAGATCTATTTTGTCCTTGTAAATATGCATGCTTGCGTTATTATTACTTTTATAGGCCTTCATTTTGTAGGGAGTGCGAAATCTTTATAGTATTTTAGCCCAAATAAGTAACTGTTGTGTAATTTTCATCTTTGTCTCTTACAATCGGCCCTTTATGGCTTGGAAAGTAAACAATTAATTAGGTTGGTGTCATAACCAATCAAGATTTCAATTTATTTTGTTACTTTCAGTTCATTATTGAAATCAATATCAGTCTAGTTTGGTTTCACGGCACGGAATTGAAAGAAGAGGTAGTCTTGAATAGACTTCACTGTCACCAGATTTGCCGCCTCGTGATTATTTTGTGTAGATACCTGAAAATTAAAATCCATAGAATTAAACCGGCTTCAAAATTGTCGAATAAAACATAACAACTAGTAATGAACAAAAAATACATTGAAATGAACAAAACTTCGAATATTCGCAAAATTCATAAAGGGTATATATTTTTTATTGCTTTGTATTCTCATTTGACGAAATTATTCCTTTCAAAAGTTGAATTACTTAATGAAGGTTTTTTTACAGTTCCGCAACAAAGCAGTAAATTTGTATTATTGTCTTTCATTGTTTTGAACGTCTAGTGAAGATAATGATTCAAATAAAAATAACGTACTTACGAACGTTTATCAACTGCATATGATTGAAGCATGAAAAAACAAATTATTTTTGTCCACGAAAAAATATGAGTGCCTGCATTATTCATCTTCAGACATACACAAAAGGGGTTAGTTGAATGCCATTTCTAAAATGGAGAGATTTGAATCTCAATAAAAAAATTCCTAGTTATGTTTCTTGCTTAGAAGGGATCCTTTTGACTCTGTTTTCCAGCCTGTTGAGATTGAATTGAATTGAATTGAAGTTCAAACGATGACCTTCATTATTTACGTGATTACTCAAAGCACATCCTTCTAGCCTTAATCTACAATCACTTGTATGAGATGTTATTCTATCTTTCAATAATCTTGTTGTTTGTCCAATATATTATCCATTGCAGTTGGAACATGGTATACAATAAATAAGGTCCAAACGGTGAAGTATTGGAGTTTTATTTTTTGTTTTGGTAAAGATAGATCCAATAGTTGAAACAGTTTTATTTGCAACTTTGATATTTTCAAAAGGTTTGAAAATTCTGGCCAATCTAGGCGTGATCTCTATAATGTAAGGAAAATAGATGTAGAAAATATTGTTATTATTGTTTTAGTTCAAATCCACTTGTTCGTTAGTATTCAATTGTGATATGATGTCAACAGTGACAAAAAAGTCTATCCTTTTCGAATCTGCACACTACAGAATCTTAATAACCTTCCAATGACGGTGGTAGAAACATGAAACCAATTCAATTTTTATCTTAAGATCAGCATCGCAACTCTGTGGAAATTGATCTACCGTTGAATGTTTGCAATGCCTTCATAAGCGTCCTATCGTTGATTTTTGACTGGTTTGATATGTTAAAATAATAACTGAAATCTCAGTGAGTTTGGAGAAGTTAGATATATTTATTACTTCATGTGTGTGTGTTTTTAAATGAACCAAGTACCAGTTTTCATCAGCATTTTCCAAAAACAGTTTGATCTTTAATTCCGTTTTTAATGCACACCTTTCATCTCAGACTAAATTCTGTTCAATTTTATTATCATTTCACGGATGAGTATCCTTGGGAAGATAATGAAATGATTGATTCATTTGATAATGATAGTTATAGCTCAACGGGGAAATATATTTTACAGGGTTTTTGCTTTTGTTAATAAAAAAATAGACGACAAAGAAATTGTTCGGAACAATTCCAACTACAGCTATTAAATCGCAGTAATGATAATAACATTCAATAATAAAATCAAGAGCAACAAAGATAAAAGTATCCGTATCAGGCCACTTTAATGAATCTTCGCCTTTTACAAATCTTGGTCAATTTCTTTTCAATCAATGGTGGTCACGATTCAGAGTAAGTGCATAACTGCTTACTTAAGATGGAGGATAAAGACACCATTCACAAATTTAATTGTATGGTAACCAATCAATGCAATTACAGAGGGAGATCAATTGCGGGAGAATAACAAACAAGATAATATCGAAATTTCAGTGAACCAGAATGTTACTCAATTCATTTATTTTGTTGAATCTCAAACTTGCGAAAATGGTGATATATACCGGATATATGAGTTTCCATTTTTTCAAGAAAACTTTATGATTCATAAATTCCCGTACAATGCTGAAAATTGAGTTCAAAATTCAAAACTTTCCATTCAACTACCGTGATATCTGTTTTAGTTATACAGTACTTATAATTTGAAAAGAAAATACTTGCGTTTACATATGAAAATTACCTATTCCTCACTGTTTATCCATACCTCTATTTTTTGGAGGCTGAAATTTCGTATGTAGGTTTGTTTTATGTTGTAGATGTGCAATAAGAAAGGATTTTCAAATATTACAACTGGGGCGCCAGCTGCGTGGGAGAGGTGCGTTCATAGAATGAATTTACCTTTTCATAACTGTTTTTCCGTACCGGTATATTTTCGGAGGCTGAAATTTGGTATGCAGGTTCGTTTTATCTTGAAGATGTTCAATAAAATAGGATTTCCAAATATTTGAATTACGGAGCCTCCACTGGAGATAAAAGTGACGCGTTAACATATGAAAATCCCGTAGGTTGGGCTACCTATGGGTCGCGTCCCCTGGTGGCGAATAGGGGAACGGTCAAGGGACTGGAGTCCCTATCCGGGAAGCCAATGTGGCCTTACGGACGGGGTCGCCGGACTCCTGGTCATTGGCAGAAATAAGTAGGGTGAGGTGAACTAAAACCCCCCAAAAGCCTTTGCAAAAATCCCACCGTGGACCAGCCAACTCAAGCTAAAGTGTGAGGAATCATGCCGACAGCTGAATGGCCGCAGGGTGATATGCCATCACAAACGATCCCCTTGTGGAACTGGGCGAAACCACATTATAATCAACCTACCTCTGGTAATACGGGGCTCTGCCAGAGGTGACCAACTCTTTCCTTGCTACTCGTGGAAACACACATGAATGAAACAACACAAAAATAGAAACAACAAAAACCAATCCTGAAGCTGGACAGAAGTGCTCACCTGGCTGGGTATGAACAGAAATGTCCACCCCAATCTACCGATTGGACTGAGGCTGGACATAGCAGATCACCTCCAACAGCAAGGGCACTTCCTGCGACGGGCGCCAAGAGCTCCGCCTTGAATAAAGGCAAGGGACCAGCCACCCCTGCAGGAAAGCTCCCTCACTTGTGCACCTCCACGGAGGAAATTCCAAGAAGGTTGAAGAAGCAGCGCAACGACAGTTATATCGCTGCACCATCCAAAACCTTCGCGGAGGTCACCGTGAGACACCTCAAAATTGGATGTCTCCTAGTGAACTGTCCACCTTCCTGGAAAGGACAGGATGGACGATGACCTAGGAGGACAACTCCTCGGCAGGATGTACAAAGGGTCACATGTGGCCTAAGTCTACACTCACCCTACTCTACAGATACAGATACATATGCATGCAGCATATGTATCTGTATCTGTATATACATACAAAGAGAAGCTTGACTGGTGACACACAGGCTAATGCAGGGGCAAACCCCAATCAGCCAGTTACATAGTGCAGAATACTTGAAACTGTGCAATGAACTACTGGAATGCCCGTGGATAACACAGTTCCGCAGTACAACTTTCAAAAAGATTTCAAAATCATCATACGAAGTAGAGATGACTGGCAAAACGGCCCATCGGTAACAGCTGAAGAAACTTGGTATACAGATGGTTCAAAGACCCAAGAAGGAATGGGAGCTGATATTTATGGAAGCAGAGCAAAGACGAGAATCGCACTTAGCCTCGGACATAATGCAACTATGTTCCTGGTAGAAGTAGCTGCCATCGAACACTGTATAGGGGAAATAAACAGGCAGAAGGTTACAAATAAAACCATTGCTATTTTCTCAGACAACCAGGCGGCAATTAAGGCGCTAAGCTTATTTCAAGTCTTCTGAAGACTAGTGGGAAGCTGTCTGGGCGCACTAGGTCACATCAGCTTGGGTACCCGGACACGAGGGTCACAAGGGCAATGAGAAGGCCGATGTCCTAGCCCGTGGAGGGGCATCCAAGGCTATGATCGGTCCAGAACCCTTCTGCGGGGTAGCGAAAGCATGAATAAAGACATCCATAAATTTGTGGATGCAAGCCGAATCGATAGATTAGTGGAATAAGCTCCCAGGAATGAGGAATGCGAAAGAGTTCATAAAGAAAACATCGCCCAGATTCACGAAAGATCTGCTAAACTACAACCTAAGGTTGTAAGGGTAGTGGTGGGTCTACACGGGGCATAGCTAACTCAGGAAACAAATGAGCAACATGGGTCTGACAGAAGAAACCCAATGCAGGTTCTGTCAAGAAGATGAGGAAACCGCACTGCATGTGCTCTGTGAATGTGAAGCGATGGCAAGGCTGAGACACGCGGGATGCAGGGACGAGAAACCAGAGGAGGCCAGCTTTACGAAGATGTCAGTGTCAAGGCTATGAAGTCTCATCAAAGAGATCAAGCTAGATAATGAGCTCTAACAACCAAGGATCATCACAATATATCTGAAAAAGTCGCAGTGAATCAGGCCATGGGCTAACTTCCCGACAATCTAATCTAATCTAATAACACGTTGTTTGCAGAGATCATGGTTGAGGCTATCATTATGCTTTATTACAGCATATTTTTCTCCCACCATATAAACACTTTAGTGTATTGCATCTTCATTTCTTTTCGTCATTCAACAGATCGACAGCAAAACTATACTTATTGTTACTCAACGCTAACAATGTTTTCTCGCGTTGGCTTGTAATAATCGATAGAGTTAACGCCATGTAGCAAAAATTGATCCAGATAGCGTCCGCTCCATTTCTTGTTGAATAGGGGTGCATGGTTATGTTCAAGTACCTGACAATATTCGACCATCGAACGAGTTTACGAGTGTAGGAACTAGTAAACACATTTTTACGGGGTCAGTATCCATAGAAGGTTTATTCTGGTTCTAACATCCAAAACTGTCTGGAAACTGCGCAAGACATGATGCGCACAAGCAAAAAATCTCAGTCAGTCTGAAATAGTCTCGGACACTTGGTTAAACCAGAACGCATTTTGAACGCATCTCCATTTTGTTATTCAGCGTATCCTGGTAGTCAGTTGAAATGTTATCTAACCACAATCATCAATTAGTTAAGTCAAGTAAATAAAAAAACATCCAAGAAAATAGCCAAAACAAATTTCCACATGAATGCGCATGAGCAATGGGAACAGTTATCAACAGTTCAGTCTCGAGAGCAAGAACGATTCGTGATGGTTCAAGTCAATTTAGGATCATTTCGCAGTCGAAATCAGAACAGAGGATTCATCAATCCGAAATTATCCTCAATAAACCAGAACGCTCTAGATCAACTGCGTATGATCCTGACGTCCTAGAACTTGAATTTCGCAGAACCAGAACAAATCTAGAGTATAAAGAGAAATATGCTTAATCGACTTTCGATCGTCTATTTGTAATTGTGTCGAATTTAATTTTTAATCATACTGGATGGGATCTTTTGAAATTTTCAGTTGATGAAGCAATTGCTCTTGTTCTCTTTCATGACATACTTATTACATTGTTTTTAATAACTCCAACTTGTCCGATAACTTGGCTCTCTCGAGGTAATTGGGAGTATCTGGCATTACCATCAATAATTCACGAAAATTGCATTTACTGTTCTTGTAACACCAATTTTTCGCTCAGCAAAAAATTGGTGTTTCTGCTTACAAAAATGTAACCTTCAACTAAAGCTTGACATCTACAAATCATTGAATGAACCCTCACAAAATCTTCAAAGACGGTTCGAACATCAGTGAAAAAAAGCGACAGCAAACAATTTGATAAACATGGTATTTTTTGCTACCTGGATATATCTCATTGTGTTTTTGTTTTAATTTCATTGTACTAATAAAGAATATGAACGTGACGTCTACTTACATCTATGGCATGGTGGTCAATGTACTATTACGGTCAAAAATGGTGCAAACCGGATAATATTTCACGAAAGTTTTTATGAAATCCACTTAGGACTCACGGTGCGATGCACGGTTAACAAATTAGTGAATGAAACAGCATGTTCTTTTTTATCATATTGTTATTTATACAGGGTACAGCGTGATGACCGTCGGTTAGCTGTATTTTGAGAAATGATAGAATTCATATCCTGAAAATCGGCAAATAAAGGTTTTTTTGAATATTCTTCATCAAATGATAATAATGGCGTTTTTTCAATATTTTCACGTTTTTGAAAACCTGACATAATGTGAGTTTATGTGATATATCCTATACTAAAAATGAACCGTTCTCGAGATATCCATTTGTTGACTAACAAAAACTAGGAATTCAGCTCTCGAGTGATTCCCATGAAATTAAAAAGTTTGATAGAATAGATGAATTATTATTATTATTAGCTATTATTGATTATTAATTCATCAAAATACTTCATTTCATCGTCCTACAGGTATAACATTTTTAAAATGTTATACATGGTATTCGGAATCGATGACTGATTCTGGGCCAAATCTCAGTTTTCTCAAATAGAACACTCCATATTTACTAAAGCTTTTGAAACAAATACTATAAACGCGGAAATGCTGCAATATTGGAGTCCTTTCATATACAAATATATTGCCCATATAATAAATTGCTGTATTGAAAAATCGTATTTTTCTGTTGTATGGAAGAGCTGTGATGGCATACCTATTTACAAAAAATCCCAAATATTTTGCAGATTTGAGAATTATAAGCTTACTTCCGGCTCTATCTGAAATTTCGGAAAAATTTCTTTGTTCTCAAGTTTATGATTGTTTCATTCAAAACAATTCACTTCCTGATTGTCAATGTGGTTTTAGACCTGGAAGAAATACTGAAACATTTTTAGCAACTGTAACGACTGTTGTTTTAACAGCTAATGATCAAGGTACAAGTAGTGTTTTAATGTTACTTGGTTTTTCCAAAGCTTTCGATACCATTAGTTATGAAATGCTTTGTGCCAAATTGAGATATTATAGCTTGGATGATAAATCAGCGTTTTTAATATGGGATTATTTCCTCAGACGTTTTCAGAGAATATTGGTTAAAAATTTGTACTCATCCAAACTTGATAATTCTTTCAATTCAGGTGTCCCGCAAGGGTCTATACCGGGCCCATTAATTTTTATTATATATACTGCAGATATTTTAAATGGAATAGAACACTGTAAAATTCAAACTTTTGCAGATGATACACAGCTTTATCTCAGTTTTCGTACTGAAAATTTCGTGACTTCAGAAGAAATCACGAACAATGAATTGAATAAAATTCAGACATCATCAGAAAAACACAACTTAAACTCGATTCTGAGTTAGTTAGAAAAATATAAACTTCTTGAAGATTAGTTTTTACCTTCAAATTGATAATACTCTGTTGGAAATCTGATTCAGCCAGAAATCTTGGTTGATTATTAGATACAGACATGCGTTCTTCTCAGCACATAAAAAATCTTTTTGGTAAATCTTTCACATCTCTGAAGCTTATTAACAGTAATCGTCATATTCTCAGGTTCAAAATGAAGCGAACGTTGTGTGAATCACTTGTTCTGAGTCACTTCAACTATTGTGATTTCCTTTATGGATCATGCCTGACAGAAGTCGATGAGGATAGAATACAAAAAGTGCAAAATAGCTGCGCAAGACTGATTTATGATATCAGAAAATATGAACATATTTCACATTGTTGAATACAAACTAATGAAATGCATCACGAAACATCATCAATCACCTCCAATCAATTTATCATGATTTGTATTGTAAGCGATGTATGCATCCATAATTTACAATTTATAATGTATTTTTTATTTGAACCATTTATGCACTATTCTCAAATAACAATAAAATGCAAATATTATTTTTATTATTCAAGAAAGTGTGGCTCTTCCTGACTTTTCATCAGCAACTATTCACTAAATTCAATTCGACGATGCAGATACGTGTACAAAATGATATTTGAACGGTGTTTTTTAAATTTGTAGGCTTTTCTCACAATCTTTCAAAGACGCATTCGAATGAGCATCAAATTTTCCTTTTATCAGATCTTCATTATCCATCTCAAACTTTCGTTTGGTTACTTTTGGAAGAAATGATCCATGATGCAAACAATTTTTCAACAGCCTTTTCGGTTTGAGTTTTTCCTGATACCTTTCGGCAAATATCCTGCAGCTTAAATCAACAACTTCATTTTTATTTGCTCCCATAGCATTCCTCTTGTAATAAACTTCGAAGTTATCATGAACGATAAATAGAAATTTTCATCAAATACTCTGGATGGCGATGAAATCTGTCGTGTGGTAGATAAAAATTTTATAAAGAAAGTTATCAAATGCCTGGAATTTGACGGAAATGTCTCGAACATATTATTCGATTGTTTTTACATTTTGTGTGAATAAACAATGCAATATTTTTGAATTTTAGTTTTTTTGTGAAACATTTCGAACAAACATTTTTTTATTTATTATTTATTCATCTGATATCCTGTATTCAATAAAAATCATGACGGCAAATTAATATCTCTAATAAACTTTCTGTAACTTTTCCAAATGGAGATTTCGTTGTACGTAGTTTTGTGGTGGCCTGCGCATGTTTTATTTTTTCAAGAAGAACTGAAATATCTTGTAAACGGTTGATTTTTTAATGTTTCATGAGAATGAGTCAAAATCATCTTGAAATTTGGAATCTATTCTACAATTTAGGGTTTTCCATTTGAAAGAACTGAGTTTCGATCCATTTTTTATCTTCAAAATTGGTCATCGATTCCGAACACCTTGTATAACATATTTGTTACTCCTACAAAACGATAGGGTGGAGTATTTTGATGAATCAATAATAGATTTTACGAGTATACTATGTATGTATTCTATCAAACTTTCGACTTTTATTGGGAAATCACCCGAGAGCCGAATACTCAGTTTTTTTTTTTGAAAACGGTTCATTTTCAGTCTAGGCCCTAGACCTAGACATTGTGGGTATTGTGATTAATGATTCTGATTTCGTATAAGAAAACTATGAAACGATTTCTGACGTCCTCTTCTACTTCAAAAGATTGTTCTAAAAAACCTAAATTACCGGTCAATCGTAAATACGATGAAAGCTTCTTACAGTACGGTACGGACTGAAACCAGTGACATTCCTATTCCTCAATGTGTTGTATGTCTTGAAACACTTTCAAACCAATCCATCTTTACTGATCCGACACCAAAATACTAAGCACCCTAATTTGATTGGTAAGCCCATTGAAAAATATAATTTCTTAAAGAAAGAAACCCAATGTTTGACGAAGTTTCTCAATACTGATACTAACTTGATAAAGGCGTCATACCTTGCTAGTTTAAGAATTTCGAAAGATGGAAAGTCTCACACAATAGGTGAGACGCTTTTACTGCCGGCCGCTGTCAAATAACACAGACGAATTGATGATATGTCAAATAATATTGAAGAACAACTGGCTTTAAAACTTCAAGAATGCACTTATTTTGCACTTCAAGTTAACAAAAGCACTGATGTTACAAACATGGCGCAGCTACTTGTTTTCGTGCGATTTGATTATAATGAAGAGGTGATAGAAGAGTTTTTTTCTGCAAACCACTTGAATCAAATACCACAGCGGACTCATTTTTAAGGTAATTGAATATGTACTCAAAGTAGACATTCCCTGGTCAAAGTGTATTGGTCTGTGTACAGATGAGGCAAAAACTATATCAGGAAAATTGACAGGGCTAGCAGCAAAAATGAGGGGAATTGCTCCTGAATGAAAAAATACGCATTGTGTCGAGAAGCATTAGCTGCTAAAGATATGCCGGAAAATCTTAACTCCGTTCTATTAGATGCTGTGAAAGTTATCAACTTCATAAAAGCAAGGGCTCTAAATACAAGACTATTCTCCTTGATGTGTGAAGAAATGGATGGCAAGTTCAAATCTTCACTCCTGCATACAGAAGTGAGGTGGTTATCTCGCGAGCCGAGATTTTTGATAAACTCACAGAACTTGGGACTTCAGGGACCAAACACAACAGCCTTCACAGTCAGTGACCAAATAAACTCCTCCAAGAGAAAATTGGTCCTGTTTTGTTTACAAATGCAGAATCATCATTTTTTGAAGAAAATGAAATATCTCCAATGCCAGATGTGGTTACAGATATCATTGTTCACTTGGGAGGCCTTCGAAAAAGCTCTAAGAAGTATTTCTCTGAAGATTATTCGAAAGTGGACTGTATCAGAAATCTTCTTTCGGGAACCTCACCAAATGAATTGGAACTGAAAGAAAGTGTTATCGATCTTATAGAAGATAGTTCCATGAAAGATTATTTTAAATAGAAATCTTTAACTAATTTCTGGATCGGATGTAAAACCGAGTACCCTTTGCTTTTCCGGTAAGCTCTGCTATTTTTGATGCCATTTGTTACGAGTTACTTGTGTGAGAGTGGATTTTCTGAACTCTTGTACATGAAAAATACATATAGAAGCAGAATAAGTGTTGAAAAGAACTTAAGAGTGAAGATAAGTTCCATTTCTCCTAATGTTGATATTTTAATCACAGGCAAACAAGTTTCGCACTAAAGACTATAAAAGTATATTTTGTATGATGATTAATTTTTTGCTGACTTTTTAAAAAAATATTCGAC